AACGCGGTGACGCCCGCTATTTCATGCCTGCCGAGTGTGACCGGAGCATTGTGGCATTGCATGGATGGATTGGGAACTATGCGTCATCCTATGTCAAACGTCAATCGACAAAATTGCCACCTGCCATTTACGACCGCAGCATACTGTTTGATCACTTTGATCAACACACGTCCAAGTGCAAAATTTGTTCCACGGCACTGGACAAACTCCAACGGAGAAAACGAAACAGTCAAATCGTCTTGGCGGCATCGATTTTGTTGGGACTCCGGTTTTGGCCCATGCGGCTGCTGGCAGTGGCCAGTTTGGGGACTTGGAGATTTTGGAGTCAGATCGAAGGCAAATTCTATAAAGGAGAATTCAAGCACCACCAGAATCATTAGACACCACATGCATGCCATCCCCAGGAGCACTGCTCAATTTCTAAATGACTACGGGAGCTCTGAGCCTTCGCCGAGACTAGTAGGTAGAGAAAATGCACACAGCGGAAGCCATCGCAATTCAGCCACACCGTCCGCGAGGCAAAACAGAGACTAGCCGTCAATGATTTGGCTTCTAATAGTAGTATGAGAGTATCAGCAGTGTCAGCATAGGAGGAAGACATGCAAAGAAAACTCAACATACGCAAAGAAAATTCAAAGCTGTATGTCGTCATATGGACCATGACGCGTTATGAATTCAACTCTGTCCCAGTCTCAGAACAATCCTTCATCCCTTGCAAGAGAATAAAATGCTACGCTAGTTAGCCATTCGGATCACTGCGTCTCTGTCTGCTCCTTGGCCGACTACCGTAGCTAAGGCTAGCCACTGACTGGCACCGAGGTCCACCTATATCTGATGCTAGGGGCACTGGGGCAAAAAGTCTGCACCTCTACAGGCCGACTGGGCAATTCTGCACCTCGCGTGGGTAGTGTAGACCTCGGGCAAGATCTGCACCTCGGGAGGCAAAGATCGCACCTCGTGGCAAAAAGTCTGCACCATGCACGACTCGGGGGCAAGTTGCACCTCGGGGGCAAGAAATTGACGACATCTTCCTCTGTAGGAGTGGTACCACTCGGGATGCAGAAGAAGCTAGCTAGGGCACACCACCCTTCCAGATGTCAACCAACAGCTACTGCAATACCGGTAGGAGCTAGCCATAGCCAAAGATAAAGCGTTTGCTCAGCTCTAGCTTTCAGACGACAAGGGCCTTTGCAGTCACGGTTGTCCCCAAAAAATGTCTTTTATCCCATGGTCCTGGGCTTCTTAGCCTTCAACTTGCCCGTAGATTGCTGTTGGCGCTTTCATCATCAAATCTCAATTGTTCCTGGTAATGAAGAAATGCCAAATCGGAATCAAAGAACTTGTTGGACAACAAATGGCTCCCCCAAGTAGGCAATCGCTTGAAGAGTTGGGCCATGATTGGACCCAGCTTGAATGTTTTGATTCGGTTGTTGGTCGATGTGTTGTCTTTGGCGGCAGCGCTTGTGGTGGGAATGGAAAAGACCATGACACGGGACCAGCCGGGGCGGGTGGGGATGCACAGAGCCGATAATCGAAAGGGTTTTGCTTCGCCAGTGGGCGACGCAAATGTAGCATTGTAATTGACCAAAAAGGGTGCCCGGAATTTCCCTTCGCCCGTACGCATCATTCCCATGGTCCGATCTTGCCATTCAAAGGCAAATCCAGCTTCTCCTAGATTTGTGGCACTTGTCATGTTGATGGGAATGGCATCACTACGACTTCCTTGCATCCCATGGTGGGCAAATGGGATATGAGCTGGGTCAATCAAGTTTTCCACCAAAGTATCCCATCCGTAGGGCTGATCTCTCGTATATGTCATGATACCCGCTTCCGTGGCATTTTGGATGGATGGATCCAGAATCAGTCCCTCCATGAATCCTTCGGGATGTCTCCATTCATCACCGACAAACTCGAGGGGATCTTGTTGCCAGGGCCAAACCCATAACACTCCCGTCCGCGCATCCAGCATGGTACTGTAGGATGGCAGACACGATCTCGGATTGGCCATTGCGGATTGTTCCACAGAGGGTACCACTTGAGGAATGCGTTGACAAGATCCATCGGCTTCAAACGTCCAGCCATGATAGGAACACTGCAATCGCCCCGTTTCGGGTTCGACTCGTCCTTCCGATAATGGCGCCAATCTATGCGGACACGTGTTGTCCATGACAACCCATTGTTGTTGATCATTATTACTAGTTCGAGGATTTCGATAGGCCACGTACGATTGATCCAAAAATTCCAGTCGATTGGGACGGGTGTGATCCAGTTCCAAAGTGGATGCGATTGGAACCCATGTGCGAGGAAATTGTGGATATTGCTCGTCCAGCTGTTGCCGATTCGACAATGGACGTTGAGACGACGAAGGAGTTGCTCTTGTGGCTGGAAAAAGTGTGGCGGTTATGCCATTGCTGGTGGTGCTTTGGCTCGCAGACTCGGACACCAACACGTCTTCCAAAGAAGCATCGTTCTGGGTTGTTTTCAAAATCGTTCTTCTAGCCCCGTGATTTCTCGTCACGCCAACACCGACGGATGGCTGGAGCTGGAACGAAAAGGCAGGGCCAAACACACAGCTTGAAAGGAAAAACAGCAAAGGCTTCATAATCGGGCAGGTGGTACCATTGGTTTCACGCTATGCCATATCTCGCAACATTCAACTTCTCTTTCGGTGACCAGCTTCTCGAGTGGCCTTCGTGGTGCCGGACTTGGAGGCTCGAGATTTCTTCTTCGGGCTGACGTACGCAAAACAGCTCAACTGGCTTGTATTCAGTGCCACCGTTACATTTCTGACGATCTTTACTTCGAGAGATGGGCCCAAGCCCCAAACCTTGGCTACGGTGCCAAGGTATTCATGAGTAGCTACATGACATTGTAGTCTAGCCGGCTATTGAGGCGGTCGGGGAAAAATCGGACCAATGCTAGGTCTCTTATTTATTCGGCTCGTTCTGTTAACTGCCGGTTACTGGTAGCTTTTGTGATTACCGGTGAAATACGATCAGACCTCACGTTTTTCACGGTGAAATGCGCTATTATTAATTAATAGGTGAAAACGTTCGGCAACCAAGATTGAAGTTCAACCTGTGAAATTGCGTCGTACAGTGCGGTGGGAGCACAAAATCACGCCCCAATACTGGTATTCCTTCTTGAACCTCAACAATCCACCATGGCGAGCTGCGACGAGATGCTTCCATTCTACGGACCCGTACAAGGAGTGGTTCCTTCCAGTGATGACCTTCTCCCTCCAGCCCTTGTCAAGGAGATTGAGAAATGGACTCCCGTTCCAGGGGTGGACATCAACTCTGCTGATGGGAAAACAATGAGGAACGACAAGTTTGAAGAGGCCTGTCAAACTCTGTTTCAGCCCAACCGCTTCTATGTCAACATGCAACAGCTGGAGCAAGTTGCTCATAGCTTGGTGAGTCTCTGGGGAAAGGAGAGCGAGGGGAGCAAGCGGAAAGCTGTTCTTATCAACAAGCATAAGGTTACCATCCAGTGTAGCTTCGTAGTGTGGCAAATGCACCTAGTCCCTGTGAAAGGCAAAGGCAAGGGAGAAGCATATCGCATCATGACTGGCTTGGATTTGGAAGAGCCCGGCCTCCAAGTAATCAAGATCAGAGACTCTAAAGGGCACAAGCAATCCAACCCATGGTATCCGGCAACCCCAAAGTCCGAAAAGGTTCCCATCAAGAGTGAGAAGGACCAACCCTACGGTCCCTCTGACGCAGAGCTCAGCGATGAAACGGAGAAGAGTGGCAAACAGTCGCCACGATCTGTGTCGCCAACAGAACACGATGGCAAGAAGGACATCCGCAAGCCAAACAAACCAAGAGAGCCTACAGGCGGTCAAAAGAAGGATACAGGCCAGAGCCAGGGGTTGGACAGAAAGCCACCAGGCCAAGGCAAACGAGGAAGTTCCTCTGCTTCCTCACCCTTCTTTCGGGAGCCGAGCCATACCAACGATGTTGTGATCATAAGCAAGGATGGAGACCGAATCCCAGCGCAAAAGAGCGTGCTGGCAGCTGCCTCTCCCACGCTCAAACAAATATTTGAGTTTGGTGGAGCTTTGTCGGTGTTGAAATGGCCAGACTATCCTACCAGGGTTGTGAGGGCTGCCATCGAGTTCACCACTGCGAGTAGCAGCAATCCTGTGGACGGAGAGGTGGTGGCAACTCTAAGGAGTGATTTGGAGCTATGTATGCGCCTCGCTTCTGAGTACGAGCTGGTCAAGTTCCAAAGGCTGGGTCACCAAGCCTTGCAGAACAGGTTGAGCATCGGCAACCTTAAGACTGCTCTTTTGGAAGCCCAGAAGACAAACGATCAGACCTTGAAGCAAGGCTGCTTCAAGTTCATTCAGCAGCATGCCCATGCCGTTCTCACAGACAAAAACATCGTCCGTCTTGCCATCGATATGCCTGAACTGTGGGATGAGCTTGTTCGGGCCTTGCTTGACAGTACTGGGCCTGCCGAATCAAGGCAAGCTGCGACAAGGGAGCAATCGGGAACCGAGACAACAAGTCAATCGGGGCATGCGACGAGCAATGAGAGGCAGGCTGAACCAAGCCGAGGGGAGACGAGCAAGCGGTCGAGGAACGAGTTGAGTAGTCCAGTGCCAAGAGGCAAGGGGAACGAACATTCGACAAGCAACAAGAGGCGCCGATCGAGGAACGAAGAGGAGAAGGCATGGAACTTGGAAGGTCGTCCAACCCAGGACGAGGAACGCATCGTGTGCAACACTGAGCTCCTTTCTCGTTCACCTGTGGATGGCTTGGTTGGAAAAAACTATAACTAGCTAATAACTAGCTAGCAGAACTGTTGCACGTTTGTAAAAAAACTATGACTGGCTATCTAGTCTACTAGTAGTCTAGCTAAATGAATTGATTGAACTTGAACTGTTGGTTGTCGGTTGTTTGAATTGCTGGGGACGGATACCTGGTACCGGTACCGCTCAATCCCCCCCCAGGTGTGAACTTGAACCCACAATTTCTCTAATTTAATCAGTATCTTTCCAGCTCTACTGCCTAGTAGACTGGCTATTCGTTTCGTTTTCTCTTTCTCTCTCGTTCAGATTGTGAGCTCTTAGACTGAGCTCCGACATGCATACATATACCAGGATCTTTTGATCCTCTGCTTCTCGCAGTTTCATCTACAGATAGATCTCGTCGATCTATCTTCCTGAAGTGCATGGTTGGCCCTGGAGGGGCTTTCCCACTTTACTAAACCTGTGGACCTTCATCCGTCCATTCATTTGCCCCGTCCCATCGCTCCTTGCATTCATCCCTTCGACCTAACTTCCTAACCTTTGTAGTTGCATCATCTAGACGACCATTGTCCTCGTTCCTCGTACACCTGGCCATCTGATGATGATCGGATAACCATCTGATTTGAGTCACACATCCCCAATCACGAACCGTGACTGTGGATCCCGAGTCGTCTGTCCGTCATACGAAAATACCTTTCTAACACCCTTCCTGTTTTCGCGATGATGGCAGCGACCTTCTCACAGGCTCAAACCAGTTGCTCCTTGTCTCCTGTCAATCTTGGTGCATGTCTGTCGAGGGTCTCGACGTTGACATTCTTGGTCCCAATGTCGCTCACGTTGTCTTCTGAGCGAACAAAGTCAATCTTCACTAGGCCGTCCTGCTGCATCTGATTCACATAGTGCCACCTCGTATCCATGTGCCTGGTTCGACTCGCACTTGTCTTGTTTTCCGACATAAAGATAGCACCCACGTTATCGATCTTCACTTGCACAGGTAGTTCCACGTTGATCTGTAGGAACTTCAGAATCTGCGTGATGAATGGAACTTCTCGCACTGCTTCACCACACGCGTAGAACTCAGCTTCGGAACTCGACAGTGCCACAACCTTCTGTAGCTTGGACCTCCAGTGAATGAGTACACCCTCGAGAAAAATCATCATGGACGTGACTGATCTTCTGTTGTTCTTGTCTCCGGCCCAATCCGAATTCGAGAACACTTCCAACTTCCACGGTCCTTCGTTCTTCTCTGGTCTCATTAAAAGTCCACGGTTCCTTGAGTCCAACACGAACTTGACACAACATAGCATTTCCTTGTACGCTGCTGGTGTTGCGCATCCCAAGACCTTAGCTAGCTCTCGTACCGCGTTTGAGATTTCTGGCCTTGAATGCTTGATAAGGTACATGAGCATACCTACTCCAGTTCGATATCTGCTCTGTTGTTCTTCGGCAATCCATTCGCTCTGTTCGTCTGTCTTTACTATTCCGAGTCCAGGTGTTCCCGCAGTCTTGTACTTGGGTAGTTTTTGCACCTCCTTTCCGAACGTCGTTTGAATCTTCTTGATCATGTGGGGTTGTCCCACCCATGCAGCATCCTTTCGGGGATTCATCCGAATCTCACAGCTCAGGTAGTCCGTGAGTTCGTACTCAATCGTCATGTTCAAGCCTCGATCCTTGATCCCTTGAAGTACTTCCTTGATATCGTCTTCTTCTCCAATGGTAAGATTGTCATCCACGTAACATAGGATCACGCATATCTTCCCATTCTTGTTTCGCATAAAGAGGCATGGATCACTGGGAAACGTTACGAATCCTAAGTCTTCCAGAACACTCGCGAACTTCAAGTAGTACTGTCGTGCGCTCTGGCAAGCACCGTAGATGGTCTTGTCCAGTATGACACATTCGTCGTCTTGATGTTCTAGTCCCTTTGGGCAGTCCATGTAGATGACTACGTCCATGTCTCCGTGTAGGAATGCTGTCTCAATATCGAAGATAATTGCCTTTGCTCTTCCCATCTTCTTCAGTAGTAGGATCAAGACGATGCGGAAGGTGATGTCGTTAGCCACCGGACTGTAGACGTTGTCAAAGTCAATTCCAGGCACCTGGCTGTAGCCACAGGCCACCAATCTAGCTCTGAATCTTCCATTCCGCTTGATTTCCAGTACCCACTTGTGTTTGACGCATCGTCTCCCTTCCTCCATTCTTGATCTCTTGATCTTGCGCCAGACCTTGAGTTTCTCCATCTTGTCTAGCTCTCCTTTGATCGCCTCCCTCCACTTCTCTCGTTGAAATGGTTCCGGGTGGTCCCAAGCTTCATCGAACGTGCTTGGCTTGGTGAACAAATACTTGTACTTTGCTGGATCCTGAGTCCTTGGGTCATATGCGAAAGTCTCTTGATCAATAGGTGTTTGTCCTAGTCCTCCCGTCAAATCCACTTCTGATGCCATGTACCCAAACTCCATCCAGTCTTCATGTGCATTCCCGAATCTTTCTGTCATTGGAATCGTCGAAAAGTTGGCCATTTCTGTCATAGGCTGTGATTCCGGTTGTTCGTGCTGAGCTGTTACCTTCTCTCCTCCTTCGGATGCATCGTCCGAAAGTGCTTGCATGAGGGAGCCCCCGTCATGAGGTTGTACCGCTGCTAGTTTGTCCAACGTCTGCAGGGCCTGGGGGTTGTAGCTCGCACTGAGTTTCTGTAGTTCCCGCGTTGCCTTGGATACTTTGGTCGCGACCGGGTCTGGTGGTTTTGCCGTTGGGATCGCGAGAACTTTATTAATCTTCTTGGTTTCTAGTGTGATCGCTCATGTCTTGGCTGAAGTCTTCGTAGGCTTAAGGAGCAGATCGCGGGAGTTCGATTCCCGATTTTCTGTAGGTAGGACGCTGAGGAGTTTATCCTTTATTCCTATATGGGTGAGTTCCTCGGCTGTACTCGGTAGACCCATACCCTTCCACTCAGCATATGTCTTGTCCATTCAGATCATGTCTTGTGTGAGCACCTGTGCTCCTGTCGCTATGTTGTACATCTTGTACGTATCTGCACTGTAGTTGCGTGCCCTCCCAAGATACAGCATCATCTAAGAAGCGCATAATGGGGTAGCGCGAAAACAGCGAGGTCGGTTACAAAATTGCCAGGTCAGTCGATGGTAAGGTTACCAATCGGTAACTGACCTCGCGCTTATGTATGGTGGGTACAAGAACACCGAGGAATGATCCTTCCCATTTTGTGAGGTCAGCTGTGCAATATTCAAGAACCTCTTATCCTACTAATTGAAGACGATCGACTCAGGCATATACGGATGCAATTGCAGCACGAGTCATTGGCGCAACGGTTACAGAATGTTGAACTAAGCGTTCACTATTCCTCTACCGAATTCTGTTCCCCTTTCTATACATGGCTTACAAGTTGATGCACTTTGTGATGCTAATTACAGAAGGGCAGTTGTAGGCTATTCCCAAGCCCCGGAATCCAAAACAGCTCAGCCATTCCTTCCCAAATGAAAGAGTCCTAGGTTACTAAATCTATAAGTAGGGGTTTCCAAAATGGAGAAAAGCAGTACACAATGTTGGATATGATTGGGGCTAAATTCGTTTGGTACTACTAATAACAGAATAGTGGAGGTAAGCGAACAATACATAATGTTCGTAGTAAAAAGGGAGAAACAGGTCACTCAAATGTAACCAACTGTAACGTTACGGGCATCCATAGGTCGAGAAAAGGGTCCAAATGAATCCAAAAAAGGACGGCTGGGGCAACCAAACAAGGGCGCCATAGGTAACAAAGTCGTCTTTGAAGCCCTGCTAAAAGGGAGAAATGAAATTGAAGAAAAGTGGAGGAAGCCACCAAAAGCCTGGTAGGACCCCACCAAATGATGGGGTCCTAGGGTGCCAAGGGGCAACCTAATATCAATCCATCAAGATTCACACTGGACATCTTGGCGCTTGCGCTTCTTCTTGGAGTCTCAGTTCCAGCATCGACACTACAGGAATCTTGTAGATGTCTGCGCACACGAGCAAGGATGGCCCGCTCCACCCAATTTAGCATGGTCCTGGGCTCTAGATTCCTTGACAAGCTTCTGCAATCCTTGAAGCGGCGAAGGCCTTTATCACCCCACCCTCCAAAAGCAGAAGATCCAGCCTTGGAACTGGAGTACCTCCCTTCATAAACTCCCTCTGGATCATCTGCTTTGCTGGAGCGAGGCAACTTCACGTCCAAGGTGAAGCCATTGTAACCTTGAAGTACTCGTGCCACTTTCCATTGGTACGCGTTGCCTTCATTGTCCACAGCACCTGGTTCCGCTGTGTAACCATTCTCGAAGGCGAGGGCAGCAAAAGCTTCCGAATTGGGAGGGAAAGCCTCCAAACCATCAACCCTGGCTTCCGAAATGATGTAGTTCTTGCGAACTGCCTTCCTCCAAAACTTGGATGCACCACCAGACCTGAGCAAAGAGGCAATCACCACATCCATTTAGCAACAAACATGAGTCGCTCATGCTGTGCCTTTGCACCCTCAGTGGCTCCCTCTCAGGTGGCAACAAGATGGCATCCCGCTTGATCACCTTCAGGACCTCAATCATGGTTGGAACTTGTCCACTCCATGTACCTTGACAAGCTTCTTGACATGCTCAAAGATTCGGTTACAAACATAGTTGCGACAACATTGAGGGTTTGACTGCAATAGTGACCAGAGCTTTGATGAACAGTTTGCGCTTGGACTTAATACCTATGTCAGCACAGCAAGAAAAGGGAGGTAAGCCGGTGTGAGATTTGCAAGTGCATCAGACAATCCGCAAGCAAAACCAACTCAATTACGTACGTCTGTCCTTCTTTGCTTGCCAGTCACATCAGCCCCTTCAACTGCATAGTATCAAGAGTGGCCGTGGTAGGGCAATTGGCCAGCTTGTCGCTTTGACAAACTTGAACCTCCGCCAGCAGTGTTCTTGATTGCCGTCTTCATTCCTTATTCATCGGAGCTCACCTTTAATCGGTGGTGACAATAAAATGGACATCGTCTTTGGCTACCGATTCCATCAGTA